TTCAGGTGTCAGGGGAAAACGCAATGTTTTGGCCGTGGAGCCTTTAGGATCACACCTGAAGCAGGCTCCACGGCAGAAACGTTGTTTTCTTTCTTCTCTTTTCAGCATGGAATAAACCTATTACATGTTCCTTATTTTCTGATAGTCAGCTTTAACATATATTTGAACAAAGTCTTGTAAATTCAGGTTTTTTAAGATGTGGAAGAAGTGCAATGATTTATCACAATGATAAATACGGATTATTTTAATCTGAATTATTGATTAGTAATAGTTAATGCCAACGCCTGACTTTCTTGTTTAGATGTATATAAAATATTGAACTAAGTGCGATGCAACATCCAGAAATACAATCGAAAATAATCTGTGGTATTTGTGTAGATGAAACTTTTCTAAAATGTATTAAAAAATAAAAATGATTAAAATATATAATCTTCCCAAATGTATGTCATTAGAAAGTACAATAAGCACCTGCTCTGTTTAACGATGGTTTCAGATATAAAACTGATTGAGGGGAAAGCTATGTTAAATGAGAATTAAAAATACTTCAAGTTAAAAGAAATGATTTACATTCCATTATTAAATTTTAAAGGCACACAGACACGCTCAGTCCAAAGCTGCAGAACGGTCTTGCTGAACTCCAAGCCTCCTCTCAGGTCCGCCTCTTTGATGGAGCTCAGCGGTTGGTGTCCTGTTTCCTCAGCAACCTGCTGATTGCTGATTGCTTCACACATCAGGAAGAGTTGAGAAGGAATTTTATCTGCACGATACGCATGTTGTGTTTACAAAATCAAAATGTTTAATTAAAAAGTTAAAAAAATTACACCTTACATAAAGATTCTAAGATGATCGTGCATCAAAGTGTCAATAACTATCTAAACCCATAAATAACTATCTAACCCCGTTTTTCATGGATTTTAAAGTCATGCAATGTCTATATTAGGTAGGGACACGGTATTTCTTATTTTTTAGTTTTTATTTTTTCAGTTGCCCATCGTGCCATAGAATATTACATTTTTATGTTTTTGGTATTTATTGAACACGTTGTGATATATGAGAATAAAATGTCAATATAATGTACATAATATTAGCTACTTTAAATGCGTATTTGTTAAAGGAGAACTCATGGTGTGTTCAGGATTCAAATCCCTGCTTCCAGAATGAAAGTCACACACTGAAGCCATTATACCAACAAGCCACTCCGCAACTTACGCTATAGCTGAGAAGGGCAGGCAAAATGTTTCTGAATAATCACATGTGAATGAGTCGTATTGACAGATGTTTACAAAGAAAGTTGACTAAGGTTAATATTTTCGGCTATATTAATATATTTAGATCCTTAAATTAATATTATTAATTTCTTAGATATATGATTCCATATTATATTCCCTAATAAGCAGATTCTAAAAAGTATGCGTTTTTTACTGCGATAACGAGCATAGCTTTTTATAAAGCATATAAACATAAAATAGAATGATCACACCAAAACCTTCCCAAAATAACCACAGTAAGTGACCGAGTGAAAGACTTTAATTGTTTAATTGTTTATTTTTATTAAGAAAGTTGAATACTGTTGTGTATTTTTTATTTACACTACCACTACCAGCCATCTACAGCTTGATCATATTATTTATATTCCTAAATTAATATTGTTTATGGCGAACAGAGACGTTATGCTCTTCTTATGTTTATGCTCAGCTACCAAAATTTCCCTTTAGTTGTAAAATTCCATAGTTATATTCAGTATTAAGCAGATTTAAACATGCAGTCAAGAGATTAAATGAAACAATCGTTTCACTAACAAGCAATTTACCACAAGTGCCACCTGTCGGTCATTTTGGCCAGCCAATCACGTACCGCGGTATTCCGCGCTATGCTGCAGATAATTTTGCTCTTAGGGGGTTTCAACGCGCATTTTGAATGGCTGCATCTGTACATCCTGTTCAAGATCTACGAATCTTCTTGGTGGTCATACGCCATACACGCTCTCTAAATGTAACGCCATCTATGTGGAAAGGGGACTCAACATTAACTGGAACACTATTATTTTCTCCGTTTTAAAAACTGTGTACTAGGACGCGTTTCTCTTTACACACGAAAACAAAGGCTACCAAAATTCTTTAGCTACTTTTTTTTCTTAGAATGGGCTTTAAAATATTTCTTCGCAGACTCGAACGCTTGTAACAGAGAAAGTAACAGACATTATGTAATATAATTCTGATTCAAGAAAAATAATCAGCAATGACAATTCTGTCGTTCACCAACAACGAAAATATACGTAATGCTAAACTGTTTCGGCACATAATTAATATTATGAACTTTTTTTTTATGTGAGCACCTGGAAATTCAAATACCCATCTTCATACACTGTAAATAAAACTGTCGAATGATCTTTATAAGGTTTTAAAAGCTGATCAACTGAGCAACAATACAAAGAGAATATGGATATTCAATGAACTGGAGGTTTTCCATCATAGAGCCACGTGTCTTAAAATAGCGTGACATTTCCTAATCATGCGTATCACGAAAACAATAAGTGATGTACAGAAGTTGAACAAAGAACATTATTAACAGGAAACTTTAATAAACCGCCTTAATCTCGCGTTTATAATAATTACAGTTCCCGTGCTCTGTACAATACCTCGTTTATCTGAGGTCCGCAAAAGACAAAATATCGCGTCATTTCTTTGCTGTGAGCTTTAAAGTATTTATTAATCCATGAATTCGAGTACACTATCCACTGACACACGATTAGCTCTGTTTAATCAAAGCTCTTTACTGTTTTAAACAGAATGGCTAAACTACAGTATACGACTCAAATACTGTAGTACCGTGATACTGTGACAGCGGTGAAAAAGATCCCAGGAATGACCGGATTCTTTTTATTATTATTGCTGTCGCTACGCTACATCTTCAACGCTTCAGCGTTATTGAAATCCTCTGTACCTGTCTGCCCTAAAGATGGATCGGTCTTCATCTCCTTGGCTTTGATGCTGCGTCTGTAACTCCCCTTGGTCCGTATTCACAGCCATGTTTTCACCACACGCTCCACGTAAGGTCCTACTGAAAAGGCACGATGTGCGCATGCATCGTCTGTAACACAGGTACATGACGGGATTGTAGTTTCTGAAAGACAGCTTTTATGGGTTATACGAAGTGAAACTGGTTCACAAAAACTACATTTTCCAAGAGTAAGAAATCTCGAGTGTTCTGTTCCCTGAAAGCACAAGGCAAAATTATCTTTGCGCCGGAAGAATAGCTTTTTGTCCTGCCCATTCAGAAACATAAACAGTGTTTTAGAAAAACTGTCGCCTTAAACTTTAGTTATTTTGAACATCTTTCTTATATGCAGAAAAAAGACTTAATCAGACATTTAATGGAATAATTTCCAATTATAAAATAAGCACACATTCACTACACACTACTCAACATAATTCACGCATCTATTCACAGTTACGTCAATGGTCAACAGCAAATCAGTCAGCAGGCTACGTGATGCGTAGCACAACTCTAGAACAAATGAGATCACAGCTGCCACATTTTGCAATCCAATGTTGTTATTCAAGTCTGCAGGAATTAAAAAAAAATCTTTGTTGCATTAAATTTGAAAGCCTTATCTTGGAAACCACACACTCATAGCCACCTGCCAAAATGCAAAAAAAAAAATAAAATAAACGCAAATTTCAGTATAGAAATGTAAATGCCAGCATGAAACACGAAATAGTTTTCCCGTACTCTCTCATTTGCAATTAACAGTAAGATGTAAATACGTAATATGATTCTAATGTCAGTAGATATAAGTCACTGAACAGCTTTGTGTACTGTGCACTGTAAGAAACTCAGCTAGGAGCTACAAACACCTTCAGGCTTCCAAGCATTATTGTGAGTTTTAAGTGACGTGCATCAATTATTGTAACATACAGGTGTGAAATATTGATTGGTTGACAATTCCAAAATGTTTGTTAAATACAATATTGCTGTCAAACAACCAATCAGCTTCCTTTGTTCTCTTGGGGAAAATACAGTATTTGTATTAATTTGTCTTAGGCTTCAACTGCTCTGTGAAGCCTATAGTAGTTAATTCTACAAAATATACAATATATACAAATTTACCGTATGTTAAATTTGATTGACGGCCAAACTATGTGACCCAGTAACAGCATTACAATTTTAAGCAACATTTTTTGGAAGGCGGTGTAAATTGGTGCTTGAACATTTGAACACTTAATACGATTGAATGTTTTTGAGTTTTAGAAACTATTTAATTTCAACTCAATCGGCCTAGCGTCTGTAGAGCTGTTGCAAAAAAAAAGGCAAAAATTGTCAATTGAACTCGCACAAGGCTCATGCGATTTGTAAGTATTCCAATGAGCTGCATTTGTCATTTTTTAGCAATTCTCTATTGGAAACTTAAACACAGTTGAACTGTTTTTTTTTTGTAATATCTTCTCATGTTAATTTAAAAAAAATATGAATGAACAAACTAATAACTTTAAATCCTGCACTTTCCACTTTCTCCAACTGACCTAAAAGACTAATACATTTTAGAATAATCCCACGTTATTAAGCTGCTAAAACTTTAAATGCACCACAAAAATTATACGAAATAAAACTATGAAGCGAATACAGTTAACCTAAATCTGCATTTCATATCATGTTCATACAGCTAGTCCGAATTTGTGAGCTGCACTCTGCTTGGTTTGGTTTCAGAATTAAACACAGAAGACACGCCCTTTCGTAAGTGAAGGGGGAGGAAATAGATTCGGCCACTCCCAAATTATTTAGAAAATTACTGCGGACAGTTGTGTATAAAGGCACCATAGCACATTGACCTTAACATGGACAGGTGTTTCTGTTGTTACAGTATGTCGGCGCATACCTCAACGCATTGAATTGTTGCACCTTTAAGCGTACTGTACTTCAATACAGTACTCCCTAATTCTAAACAGTCATAGAGCCTATTGGACTGGATCCAAAGTTAATCAGTTACCGAAAGAACAGCACAGAGCAAGCTGAGCAACTGAGCCACGTTTCATTTGATCTGGTTGTGAGACGCAGTGTAACCTGGATTGCAATTGTTCATTGGGATGGCTTTGACAGCAGTTTGTAGTCTGATTTAAATTAACTTCCTTTGTATTCTTTCATTGGAAACTCTTGATCATACAGTATCCTACTTATATTTTTTCAAAGGTAGCTTACTACAATGGATACCGCTGTGGGTTCTGAAAAGTCTCATCTCATCAATGAGAAGAATACTAAAATGTATACGCTGAAACTAAAAAGGTATTTTTCTTCATTTATTTAATCTTTCCAATCATCCTTCAATAATGATATTCTAAGCTTTCATATGTTGTCAGTGTTAGCAATAATCTTTATAACTTTTTCTATTCTAAAACTGCCAGCAATTGACTTGCGAACTGATTAATATTGTTTGCTGCATTATTGAGCCTTGCTCTTACGTTTATGCCTGTCGATACCACATGAAGCCCGCATGCAGATATTGATATGTTAGCAGTTGGCTATAAACTAATTAGAATTTTGAGCAACACATTAAAGTTAAACCTCCACTGATAAAAACGCACCAGTTGTCTTTACTACATGGCGATTTATACGGTGTTTTTCTATTGTGAGTTCTAAAAAATGCTTTCATTGATAAAAGTCTTCTTCCACTTGCAAAGAAACCTAATACCTAAATTAAAATGAGAAAATAATCATATAGATTTAATTGTGCGAGTTTTTCTGAGCATTTCTAATGACATCATTTAGTTCATTTTTGGCGAAGGACAAAAGTCTAGGCTACAGCGTAATTAAAATCCACTTGGAAGGCAGATACTGTACCAAATAAACTCTTAATGGGGAGAAAAAAAGAGATAAAAGGTAAAGATACCGTGTTTAGTCACGCAGGATTTAAATGAGAAAGAGCTGCCAGGTTAGTACGAATGTTATCTTGTTATAATCAAGACGTCCTATTAATATACTCATTAATTAATAGATTATTAATCTACAGTTTAGATAGATCCCCTCCCCCCTCCGAAAAACTATAGTGGTAGCACGTTTTTCAACGTAGAATTAGATTAAAATATACTGTATTTTACCAGATTACAAAAGCAATAAAAACCGAGTCCTAGTTATTTTATATATAATGGTGAACAGTTTTAACGAAATAACGTCTCAAAACGTTATTAAAGAATTTCTTAGAGAATTGGCTGTTATTTTATTTCAGATATCAACGATTTTCTATAAAAGTAGGTAATTATAATACTGCTGCTGGCTGATGCTGTTATTTCTAAAGATATGCACATGATAACTATTATTTCCATAGCCATGTTTATCGCTTTTATTAGGAAAAAAAAACATAACTGACTCTCTCATCTAAATCCCCCCTTTCCTCTGTATGGTAGAGTATCGTATTCTGGCTGTGTTCCCATTAGACAGTGTGTAAAATGTTTTATGTGAATGAACAAATTCATTTCCATGCCTCAGTTCCTTCAGGACTGTGTGTGATGAATGGCCTCAGGGAGATTCGTCGAACGCTAATGTGTTGAAATAAACCCATAATCTCTTATTACAGAGATCTGATTATGGAACAGGATCCTTAATCAATTTCCCTTTTGTTCTTTTGATACATAATTTACTGACTACAATACTGAAAAACCTGAATTGATCGGTTAAAGGTCCCTAACTCGTACAATTTTGAAATCGATTCTGAAATCGATGACTTTATAATTTCACACTTCTATGGTAAACGGTGGGAGTGTATGTTAGAGTATAGCGTTTAAATAAATCTGACCCTTTTCTGTTTTAAATGACTGACAGCCTGCTGAGGAATTAAAGCCGCAATCATTGACCGTCAACGCATTTCCAATTTCCAATCAAATCAAGCGGTCTTATGATCTCAATAAACAAACTCTTTTCTTAATACTGTACATGAGAGAATGAATAAATATTCATAAATGTTTTTAAAAAATTACAATTTTCATTTGCATCACCATAAGTAAAGAAATAATAGGATACAGTATTTGATCTACGTTCAGAAGTTAATGGACATTGTAACTACCTGATCAATCGCTAACAATTCCATCTTAAAAGAGAAGAGACTCAACAAGTACCTTGGTCTTCCCCTCCATCGTATGTCACAAATATATACAGGACGCCCAAATGACATATAGTAAACTCTGAGTTACAACGTATCAAACATTGTTCTCAGTTCCTTTTTTGTTTTGGTGCAAAAATCAGTTGATAGTCATTAATACATGTATTTCGTGAAAAACCCTTCATTTGGTTTAGAAAGGCTTATTATGTTAGTATTTTATGGGTTTATGAAAAGGTATTTTTTGCGCCGAAATGTTCCCTCACATTAAACGTGCAAATTATACAAGAGCTAGCAAACGTGCAACATAACAGTATAGCCGAGGCTATACGTACTTTGTAAATAAAAAGGGAGCTTTGAATGATTTCTCAAAGCGAAAGAGGAAATAATTCAAACAAATCGGGGACATTTTTACGGTCAGTGCAAACACATTTTTACCAGTTATAGAAATATCCCATTAGTAGCTCCCACGGAAAATGAGATGTATCCCGTAAAAAACACCCCAAAAAATTAGACCTTCAATGGCATGAGAAGTTCGTATTTTTAATGCACACAGAGTTTATCTACAAAAATGTGCATTGTAATCTTAGTGTCATTTGTTGGCGGCTAATATACAGTATAGGGGCATGAAGTACTGTAAATAGACACAAAGGCATAAATTCTTGCGCTATTAAGGCTACTTGAAGTTATTCTACAATGTTCATTAATATAGACAGACGTTTGTGGTATGCTCTACTCAGCTGTTGTAGAATATTGGGATCACAATATGAAGTGGCAGAGTGGCATTCAAAATTTTTGTTCTTTTAGAATGGAACTGTATCATAACCAAGCCATTGTATGTTTGCTGCAGGGCTGTCACATACAATTCTGTAAAGTAATCGCTAACGCAGACAGACGTTGCATGATTCAGAATACATTTCGGCTCTTCATTCTGATATCGCGGTGACAGTAAGGCATGCTAAGATATCACTGACACATTTTTTGTTTTATTTTGCCTTTTTAGATAAAATTACTATTTTTACCAAGTTTCCCTATTATAATGCAGACTATATAACCGTATTTGTACAATTCTGATTTGGAAAATAGGAATGTACCTAATTTATTAAAGCTGAGATTGCACTAGACTTCTAGTTTCACGCATTCTTACTAGAATACACATACAGAAGAGAAAAACAAGGTGATCTGTGTACCAACATGGGTAATGATTTTTATTTTGTTAAAATATACTGTATATGGATGAATAATTTCATATTTAAACACTAAAGTTTTACAACATAGACTTGTGATATGAAATTAATCTTTAGTTTTTCTAGTCTCCGTTTGTTTGAAGAAAACCGCATTTAATGTTAGAAAAGTTTTATTTCTTCCTTCATCATCATTTGCATTATTAATTTTTTACTTGTATTGTTATTAATGAATTAAGATTATGTGTTTAAATGGTCATATTATTATATTATCATCTGCACTTTAAATTCTCCATTCCACAGGATGTAAAGTGAAATAAATGGACATTAATATAATATATTTGAGCTATCCGTTAAAGTTAAAGAAAGGCCTGTGCAAGTCAATTGGTTTCAGAGAAATTTAATTTCAGCACTTGGACAGCGGCACAGCTGTAATGCGGATGAATGTACTGTTCCTGGCGTGAAACAGGTGATTCTGCGTGTGAAGTCGGACGAACTAAATGTTATCAATGTCCTGATAACGAACGCCGTACGAGATTAATTTTAAAAAATGTACAGTACTTTGCATAATACTTCACGAACATATACTGTAAGCGGTGAGCGTTCTGGCGCGTTATGGCTGCCGTCACATCATCCAGGTGGCTGCTGCACATTGGTGGTGGTGAAGGGGAGTCCCCGTTACCTGTAAAGCGCTTAGATTGGAGTGTTCAGAAAAGCGCTATATAAGTGTAAGCAATTGTTAATTATTATTATTATAACATGTAATGCGATTCTCTGGAATGGTGTTTTAGTTGCATGCTGCAAAGTACAAGAACTGCGGTAGCTACTGATTGTGCATCTTTTACCCATTTTATGAACATGTATAATCTAACGTGTACATTAAATTTCGTGTACAGGTACATAAAATTTCACTGCATGTGCTGTTTTCACATGTAAGGCAGATCATTACCACTAGCTTAAAAATAAAATACTGTGTATATTTAATTTAAAAGTTAATTTATATTTTTATCTTAAAATATGTTTATGTAGCATTTCAGACATACCCTGTTACATTAAGGTGAGATGTAGATGTTTAAGGTATTAGCTTACCCTTCAATTACATAACAGGTTAAAGACGGCTACCACACCGAAGTACAGCCTTACTCTGCAAATCCAGCCAACAGTTCAATTACCTACTATTCATACAGTAATATATCTCATCACTTAAAGAAGTTTTCACATAAAATGGCCTATTTTACATATAAGATATTATCCTTGATAAAAATGCAAATTTCACTTTCAGCTCATTTAATATTCAAATAATTAAAATTTAAATATTTACACAAATATTGTGTCCTTAGTATTTCCTTGTTCATTTCACTACCTCAAACCCATACAATGCAAGGGCATTAGAACCATTTAATGTTACATTAGTGTTTGGGTAGAACTCATTTATTGTTTGTGACAGCCTCTACTCAATTAGGCACAGAATGAAGTAGCTTGGCTGTCACTAGAGAGAAGAAATTATGGCAGACCTTTTTGATTTAGGCGTTTTTTGTTTGTTTCATAGAATCGTTTTATTACAGGCTTTTTTGAGATTATAGTTGACTCTTACCTATGATAGGTTCTTGAACTGCACTGTACATTCTGATTCATGTTATGTCATTGTTTCGATCAAGAATCTAACTGATGAGGGCATTTTGTTAGAAGTTATCACTTCTGTCTTGTTTCTAAAACCCATCCATAGACCAGAGACCATTCTGTTGACTGGTGCTAAAGATGTACTGCAATATATAGTTTCAGCCATAGCACTCGGATATTAATTCAGTTTCAGTGGCCTCTTTACCGTTGGAGTGCTGCAGTAAGCTGAAGTCTAATATGGCAGGAACAGGGTGCAGGATACGACTACACACCAGATGGAACACCAGTCTATCACAGGACACACATACATTGGGGGGAGGAATTTAGAGATGGCATTTAACTTGCATATCTTTGGATTGTGATAGGGTACCCGAGGTATCCCACAAACG